AGTTTGGCTAAAGCGGGAATAGTATGCAATCTACCAGCTAGGGCTGCTATTCTAGCAGCTGCAAACCCAGTCGGAGGTCACTATAACAAAGCCAAAATAGTCTCGGAAAATCTCAAGTAAGAAATATAGAATCAATTAATCAATTTCATACTCTAAAATGTTGACCAACAAATTTAACAAGTTTTGTGTTAAACATCTGATTATTTCAATTTGCGAAGTTGTCTAGGATGAAATCTGAAAAGAACCCTAAAATTTCAATTATAAATAGAATTTAATACTTATCTACTGACTTAGTTCGAAACATTTTATGATAATTCCTTAATTTATAGTTTTGTATTTCTACTTTTATCCATCGATTATTTTTAAACAAACACTTACGGCCATTGGCTGCTGTTTTGTATATGTTTAATACAGGAATAATTTTTTAAAAATATTATAATGATACAGAAATTTGTATTGTATATTAATAGTCAATTTGAGGGTACAGGAGCAGTACTATGCCTCGGTTAATTTGGTGAGGATTTTCTTATTGTTATATTGTTACATATAAAAGCTTGCTTTAAGTATGAAAAAAAAGTCAAATTAAATATTAAATTTATTAATTTTCTTAGATTAAGACAGACACTATGGAAGTTTTATATTAATGTTTTTACCCTATATTTAGGATGGGTAGTGCTTTGTTGTCACGTTTTGACCTAGTTTTCATCCTAGTGGACAAACCAGATGAGCAAATGGACAGTATGTTGTCTGAACATGTGATGGCAATGCATGCTGGGAGGAAAAGGTTTGTTATGCCAGAAATGAGAACCTTTTTTTTTAAATTTTTCTACAATATTTTATCTTGATTTAAATTACAATACTGTAAATTGCAATTACTGTAACAAATAATGCTTATTTGTTACAGTTTCATATAAAGAAAAAATGTACAGTTGAACTTGCCTAAAGTCAAATTCAAAATGGCATTAAAAAATTGTTCGACTTAGATAAAATTTGACTTACAGGTTATTATTAACACCAGTAGGAGCGTGTGGTGCAGCGTGTAAGGTGTTGGACTTCTGATTGGGAGTTTGAGATCGACGCTCGTCGCATTGCTTCTGTACTTGGGCAAGGCACTTTACTTACGTTTGACCCTCTTCATCCAGGAGTATAAATGGGTACCTGGTAGGATGGTATGGCATTGAATGTATGGGTCGTGCGCGTACAAGCAGCAATGACCAGGGATACTCCCCAAGGAGCAGAGAAAGTTGCACAATCTACAGATCTGCTCAGTATCCAGTGACCAGATGCCAATGTATAATCTGCAGATTGTGATAGGCACTATATAAATTCTGGTTCTACAAAAAACAAAAAAAAATTAATGGAAAACACAATTTGGCATGTCAAATAAGATCGACTTAAAAATTATTTTGACTTGGGCAAAGTCGACTTAGGCAACTTTAAAAGTACTGAGTGTATTCAATATTCAGGCACAGTGTGGATGTATGCATTTTTTAGAATGACTGCACTTTAATTCTTTTTTATTACTATATAGTAGTATTATGTAATGCTACTACTCAACTAATTCTGTTCAACTAATTCTAAACCAATTTAAATGCATTTGTGATCTTGTCCTAGGCAAAGAAGTTTATTGCTGTGATGAACAAACTTGCAAAACGCACCTGTAACAATACATTCACTGTCCAACAGATGCGAACATTAGCAAAGGTAGGCCATGTGGTATCATTTTAGAGTACAGACTTCTGTAAATTTACAAAGAGTGCATTTTAGTCGGTCCAAATTCTAGATACATTTCTGAGTTTTTGAAGAGTATTTTCTAATTTAATATTTCCATATCTTGTTACAGGAAACAAATATCAATGTTCCCGACTTTGAGAACTTCATATCATCACTCAACAATCAGAATTTTTTACTAAAGAAGGGACCACGTCTGTACCAACTCCAAACCAGCAATTTTTAGAGAGGAGGATGATACCTTGACATCAATCTTAATGGATGCTGTTGCTAAAGTCCCGTAGATGTATGTAAACTTTGTTGGACAAGTGAGCATTTCTGGCCTGATCTGATTGGTCACATGTCAAGTTTAGTTGACACTCCGGAAAAGTCCATTAGGGTGACCGTAAATTGACGTAATGTGAAGGTACTGCAACCTAAGGAAAACGCTTACAGACACAGTTACTGTACATAAGTTGTTTTGGAATATTGGATCCTTTTCTCACTCTGATAAGGAGGTGATGGGTAATGAGCATGAAAGTATATTTTTGTTTTTTCCTGTTTTGCCACTAGTGTTTATGCAAGATATAAAAATAAATAGATAACTGATGCAGGAAAAAGGCTAATCTTCGTTGGTGGAAAATGGTTCCGCAAGCAGCTATGTGAAACTGCTGTATGTAGAAACTGTCCATCCAATCCCTCATTTTTTTTTCACCTTCCATGTTTTCAGAATATGGTGTATCAACAATCCTTTTCTTATTTATTTTGCTGATTAATAATATGGAATGCAATGACAAAGAGGAATACAAAATCTAAAAACATTTAAGCGTTTTAATATATTGCAAAAACATTTACTTATAAAATATAAGAGTAACAGTCATTAACAGTTATTTATTACAAGAAATTCTTTTTGAGCACTTATTGCATTGTTTATACTTCCAACGTATGGTATCTCTACTTACAAATATCAAAAATTACCTGTACACGATCTGAGTGCCTGTATGAGGAAATAAAAGCGTGTAAAGATAAGATTGTTTTCGGCACATGCAGCAGGTACGGTAAATACATCAAAGACAATTAAGTTTCCTTTTATTATGATGCATCACAGAGATTAATAAGATCTCTATGATCGCCGAAAATCACTTATAAAAGAGCATCAAAAATTTGTTGGCGTTTAGTATTGATTATAATTGTGATGTGATGATAATTAAAAGAGTCATTTCCGGCCATCTAGAGGTACATACTTTTTTCTAAAATTTTCGCACCTTAACCCCAACCCGTCAACCAAAACCGGCAATTTCGAAAAAGTCTATATGTCAGAAGCGGGGAAACATCAGTCGCCAACAGCTGGGGGAACAAAAATCTGGAGTCTCCGTTAGAAAATAGTATTGAAGAACATTAATTGTGATTGCCCAGATGGATCCCATATTTGTGAAAGTAGCCCATGAGTCTTTTTCAAAAACAAAATGCACATAAAAATGAGAATAAACTAAAAGAAACCTTAAGAAAAACTTATGAAATACATAGACTGTTAATTTTCAATTTAAATCTTTCAAATAACAGAGTATTTATTGTTAATAAATGTTGTTGGATCTGTTTGATTGTAATTTAAAATGTGGTCTTGAATTTGAGGTAATTATATATATATATATAAATATATATATATATATATATATACAGATATTCAATACAAATACTGTGCAACACAAAATATAAAAACATGGAAATACAAATACAAATCTACAGAAGCGATCATTAAAAAATACTTATAAGTGCAAGCATGCAAGAAGCAACAGTACAAGTTAATAAAAAATTTTATAACAATTGAGTGTTTTATATCGGAACGTTTGTGTCATACAGACCGTGCACTTGTACAAAAACTATCAAACACTTTGTCAGAGCTGTCCGTATTTGAACAGGATCTCCACAAAGGATTAATTGTAATTCATCATCTGTATTTTGAGTTTATAAAAAAGTGTATTAGCAGATAGCGTGTTTTATTTGGGCAGAATCAAAACATCGATAGCATTTCCAGACTTCAGATTCCAGCCTGAAGTTATAAGCTAAGAAAGGTCCAATGAACGCAATCATTAAACCTATAGTTCGGATAGGATGGGGTTCTGTGGCTCGCCTGACCCAAGGATATATAGGAATTATAAAAGTGCACTTGATCATCTTAGAAGGATAAGAGTATTTTGGAGTGAATCACACCAAGAATCATTACCCACTAAGTCCGAAGACTTGTTTCCAGTGGGGTCCTTCTGGTGGTGAATTGAGCGGATACAATACGTTCAGAAGGGTTTTTGAGGGGGCGTTCGAGGGAGGCGTTTATTTTTAGTGCAAAATGAATACGTCACATACTCAAATAAATTACCCATTTCACTGTAAATGTGGAACTACAACGCACAATTACGTCAAAATGTGTTATTCTGGAATAGAATATTTATAGAATGTGTTTAGAACGATATTGCTTCCATGAAATACGTTTACAGTCATTTTAGGCGAGCGTTTATTTGAGGAAAAAATAAACGCCCAGGGTATTTATTCGAGGGAGGCGTTTATTCCAAATGAGGCTTTAGGGGTGTTTATTCGAGAGGGTGTTTATGAAAGCGGGGCGTCCGACCAAAAAAAAACAAAAAACGAACGAAATTAACCAGCATGAAGCATTCATATCAAATAATTTATTAACTAATACGTGTGTATGAATTGTATTAAAGGCCGAACTAAAGTAAAATACAAAATTACCTCCACCAAGGAGGTTATTCACTGCTGTCTGTCTGTTTGCAAGAATACACACAAACTAATAAATCGGGTGATCATAAAATTTTGTGGAATGGTACATCATAATCAAAGAAAAATACCTTTCAAGTTTCGGAAGAAAAGGACAATGGTCAAGGTCACGGAAATTCAATTTATTACCCTAGAGCATAAAAGAAATAGTGGAATTTCCACCACGTGTTCAAGCAGCGCTGAAGAAAATAAATGGACCTTAATATGGCGGGCGATTTAATTATTTTCTTGAGGATAGGCTGCAGCACTCAAGAAAATGCATGAATACGGCAGACGATTCTATTATTTCATTGAGGGTATTTCGCCCATCATCACGGCCTGCGTATTGTTATAGTATTCTGGCACAGGGTGGAGGTATGCATTCTATGGAGTGACTGCTCTAGTATTAACACATGGGTTAATTTTCTATCAAAAAGGTGAAAAGGACCGGACGCATTCCTGTGTTGATAGACCGTAGTATAACAAGGCTGACCTACAGTAACCAGCTGCTTTTGCTTGTTACAAAGCATTTAATAAACAGGGCTACGTGAAGGATTCATGTTCATTCCGTAATATTCAAGTGTGGTTGTGTGTTGAAAGCACTAGGCCTACTAACATCAACAAAATAATGATCTAACAAAAAGACGTCAACCTATCAAAGTCAATATCCCGTTAACCATTTCATTGATTTCGCGGTCCAATTTACATACTTGCGGTAAAAAAAAAGGAAAATAGACTGACCGACTATAAAGGAGTAGTTATTCTTTGTTTTCAATGTAAATTAAGACAGACTTACTCATGCATGTAGTATACGTCATCAAAATTAACTCTGAAGAAAGATACGACACTAATTCCACAGGAACCTGCGAAATAAGTCTGCGTAAATACGATGACAGATTTTACATCTCCCTGGTTAGGCATACGAATAAAAAGAAACCTGTTCAAAAATTCTGAACTGTTTGATTAGCCATGTTAAAGGTAAGTTGTCGTATAAATTTATATAATAATAATAATAAGACTGCTCAAATAGGAACAAGATGTAATAATCGCATCAAGCATAGCCCTTCACCGTAAAGTTCCTTTCATTCTGTTGTATGAAAAAAGATGTAATCCACGAGTGTACCTCGATGAGATGAGACTTGGTAGACTTAAAACATGTTTTTATTTGGTCCTCATTACGTCCACTGGAACTCTTCTATATGGCTAATACTTCAAATAAGAGGATGGTTCCCAGAGAATTTCTCCAAAGCTGATTTGAACTAGTTTACTCTAGTAGCTTCAACAACATGTGCAGGCAGTGAGTTCCAAATATTAATGGTTCTTATCGAAAAGGTATTCTGCCTGGTGATCCTACACATGAAACGTTGCTTTTTAATCTTAAACTTATGTTAGTTCTTGTACCCTTATCCATTTCAAACAAAGTGCTGTCAGCAAGAATATCCAATTTTTAACAATTTTGAATATAAAATCCAATTTTAACAAAATTGAATTCAGCGCTTTCTCCTTCTGAAGCTAAAATTGGTAAATGCAAAGATTTGCCTATCCTAATAATTTAAATGCCGAATCTCTGGGATTAGTCGTGTTGCCCGTTGTTGAACTTTCTCTAGGAGATCTGCATGTTTCTTGTACATTTTCGGATACCATACTCTGTTGCAGTTTTCCAGAGTAGGTTTAATAATGGTCTTGTAAAGTTGCCGAAATCCCTGTTAAGGCAGCGCTTTGAATGACTGTTTGAGCATTCCCAACCTAATAAATTGCTCTTCGTGCAGTCAACTAAATGACAATCTTTCATCAAATTAAGTCTGAAAATGTTTATAATAATAATGTACCGATACCATGCCTTTTGCCAAGGTATACAAGAAGGCGCTGTCGATGCTGTTATAGCCCGTCATTGAATCCGCGTAATAAAATCAGCACAAAATCAGCAACCTCCTTCACTTCCTGGGATGTATTCTTAGTCGCGATTGATTGCCGATACAGACTAATACATCACAATGCCACATAATCCTACCAGGTGCCCATTTGCAGGTAGGGTACGTAATGTGCCTTTCCCAAGGACACAATCGAAATTCACAACGAAGTTTCGAACTTCGGACTTTTAGTTTGAAAGGCCGAAACGTAACCACTGCGTCAACCGTCAATCTACTAATTAATAATATATAGAAAATACATACAATGTTTTTTTTATATCCCCGATGAATTGTGGTTTTTCTCTCCCACGGGGTGAGGGGAACTTCCCTGACGGGCCCCCTTCCCCTAAATTATTATGTATTTGATGTTTTTTATATATTTATTTTACAGGCCAGCGCAATATTGTTTATGTTTGTCTTCTTGTTGTGTGACAGTAGTTGTCCATCGACTTGGTACGCGCTACCTGGCAGCCGTTGTATAAAGATCGTCACTTTCGGGCATACTAGTCTAAGACCTAATGACACCGACATCTGCGCTGTTCATACTGTTGGCACTGAGGTGGCTCGATTATTCATTCCGCGATCCGACAGAGATTTGCAACTGGCGTTATCCGTGTTCCCATGGGCGACTTCATACGACATAGGATGGTACTTCATTGAAGCTTGTTTCAGAGACGGTGAAGGACGTTACCTTGATCTTTTTAAGTTCCCATCTCTAACCGACATGACAACGGTGGACGGTCCAGAGTGTGTTTACATTGAGGACAATCAGGTTAAAAATGAATGTGTAGATTCAATCGGCTATATCTGCGAAGTGAAGTCATGCGACAGTCACTATCATAAACTGTTCCAACGATTTCCGTTTTATGATTACTTTTCGTCCTGGTCCTATGACTCGGTACCGTGATGAGGATGACATAATTCATGATTTACTTTACTAATTTCACTATTGAATATTTTGTTTTGGTATATCATTTCATTTGATTTTAAGTAAAAAATAATATTATTATGGCGAATATCATGGTTACGCCTAGTAGATTAGCAAAACTGTAGAAAAATATAATTAATAATTGTTAGGCCTATTTAGTCAAATAGTCTGTGGAAGTAGGCCTAAGGTTTGGCTTAAAATGCTCGCCTTCCAATACGGTAATAAAGATCCCGGATTTAATCAGGAAAAACCAGGGGTGGCGTTAAAATAAGGCTTTGCAATTGTTACCGGTAGTTTCCGGGGGATGCGCCCCCTTGATATCACCAGTGGCGTAACGATTGGGTCGGGGCCCTGTGTATTTCTTAAACTGGGGGCCCTTTTTGGGCCCCGGTCACCAATTTCATCGTTGGATTTTAGATGTGCATTGTTATTCTAAATGTTTTTAACGACGAATAAATGATATAATATGGATCCAGAAAATTGAGGCCAGGGAGGGACTTTCACAGTTGAGTCTATACCACCTCAGACCCACCATGGTTGGGGCTGAGGTAAGAAAATTTATGGAAATGGCACTTCACAGACATAAAATTGTGACTATATATATTTTTTATCTCCAGCCCCACATAATGTCCTACAGTCGATTTCAGACACACTTATGCTGTTGTCCTTGTGGGGAAGAGAAAAGAAAATGTATTATTATGGCACGTCTATGATGGCCGGAAATGGCACTCTTAGACTTAAAATTGTAGATATAATTTTCTTTTTATCTCCATTTTTAATTTTTTTTTGTGACAAATTTGGTGGGGTCATATTGTTATAATATGATATATGCCTTACAGTCGAAATCAGAGACACATTATGGTGTTATTTATCAACAAAGTCCTTTTTGGTCAGGGTGCTAGATCGAGGAACCTATGGGTAGGGCCCCTTTGGGGCCCCTTAAATTCGAGGGCTCTGCGGACCGCCGCATGAGAGCGCATAGGCGTTACGCCACTGGGTATCACTGA